CTATTCACCGTACGGTTCATATGAAGTGCTGGAGTCTTGAGTCTCAACACGACTCGTAAATGCAGTCTTTGGAGTAATTTATGCAAAAATGTCTGCAAAGTTGTAAGAGTTTTAGGACCCCATCCAGAGATTGGCTTTAAGGCAAACATAGACTCCAAAAGCACTTTTTTAAGCTACTGTTCGTTTTGTTGGAAATACTACTAAAAAACTAATCTCGATTCAATTTTAAGGATCGTCTTAACATATACTGTATATTTTACTCTGTATTTGTATTAACTGCGAATTGTGGGCAAAAGAAAATTGAATTCAAATCATTTTTCTAAATTAAAAATTAATTATTCATTTCCAGTAATCATTCAATAAAGCAATTAGTTTTCCACTGTTTTGCTGTCAAACATAAAAACAAACAAAAAGATACTTTTGTATTGTTGTTTCTAAACTGATTTGTTTAATTACCATTTGTAACGTAGTTGGGGCGCACATATTAGCTTGGTAACAACTACAAAGCATATAAGTTTATTTTATCGTTCACCTTTATGATTTTAATCTTTACCGTTTAATTTATTTATTTTTAATTCTTGGTTTTTTGGTTCATTAAACATATTAATTAACATCAAGCAAAATGTGTATTCAATTGACAGTTATATTAAAATTCTAGTCTATAGAAGAGTTTAAATACAAACATTTCCGAATTAGCCATTTATGTGAATAAGTTATTAATAATTATCAATAATAACTTAATTAATAATTATCTTTAATGAATAGCACTATACAGTCACAGTCACACACATAACATGCATAACATCTTACGAACAATTATATTAAATATGAAAAGATTTGCTCACCTGTTATGAGATGAGGAACAGTTTGTGTTGATTAGATGTCCGCCTAATTATCCATAATTTAATTAAAATAATAATTTATTATTAAATATTTTTAAAATGTAATAATATTACTGAGTTTCAAATGTTAGTAAAATTAGTTCAAAAAATAACTTAAGGCTTATAGGAATTAATAAGTTTATAGGAATTGTGATTATAGTTGTGATAATATAGAAAGGATTAGTTACTTATGTAATACAACTGATAATTATTATGTTAGTAAAATTAGTTCAAAAAATAACTTAAGGCTTATAGGAATTAATAAGTTTATAGGAATTGTGATTATAGTTGTGATAATATAGAAAGGATTAGTTACTTATGTAATACAACTGATAATTATAAAAAGTGCCTAAAAAATTAGCTCATATTTGGTTTAGATATAAAACAATTTAAAGACAACGCTTACCCGACTTTTCATTGTAATGCTTATCGTCCGCATCGGTAAAGAAGAAAGTCTTAATGAGTAAAGAAAAAGTTATATATCATTAGTTAGTCGCGAAAAGTTTTGTAATTACACCACAAATATTATGACAATAAGTAATTTGTTGTGAGATAATGGGATGTGATTAACAAGTGATATGTATTACCTGTTCTTTCGCTAATGGGAACCAAGTCTTGAGAATGGCATCGAGTCGTGTGGAGTGAAATTTGAGTGTAGTTTTAACGCTAATGAATATATCGTTGAGTGAAGTGATGGCAAACTTTTGTTTCGATGATTTGTTTTTAAGGCTATTGAGTGAGTTGTGGTCTAAATCCAAATCATTGCTTAAATCACTAAATATATTGCTTTTATTGCCATTAAATGATGAGTTGATGTTTTGTACATTATTTTTGCGGTCGTTCACAGATCGCGGCGCCCTTTCTTGAAAGCCTACGTTACTGTTGTGACCAGCGTTTTGATGATCACCGGACCTGTCATTGTTGGTCACAACTTCTTGAGCGCTGGGTGTGAGCCATAGGAAGAGCAAAGATGTATAACATATGCAAAAAGCGATTACAAGCGCTCTTTGAGCCAACTTTGAGGCTCTGAATCGCATTATCGCTATATTTTCATATCAAACATTCCCAACACTTATTGTTTAACAACTTTATTATAACTTTGATTTAACTATTAATTAAGGCTTTGATTTGTAGTAATAGATTGGAAATACACATTATTTTTAAGGCACTTATGTTTCAAAACAATCGTAATGTGTATCACATATCCATAGCTATAATGAAGAATCCGTGCATTTTTATTGCAATCGTAGTCTCAAAAGTGGTTCAACAAGTGTCTGAGTGTCAGCCATCACAAGCATATACCCCATGTATGCCAGCCCTCAGTCTTAAGCAGCACTTGTATTCACGTCTCCCCTCTCTATCTGCACAGTCAAGGAGGAGCTCCTCATCCAAAGCGGTTAGAGACTCTAAAGTGCTTAGTGAAGTATATTGTGTGTTATTTGATATCTAAGTTCAGAGTTTGGTACAGAAGAGAGTGAAGTAGAGGTAGACGTCAGTAGCGACGATATGAAAGTAACTTACTCATATCAATTGACACTTATTTAAACAATATATTCGTGTAAATCACAAACTCATCCTAATATTACAACAAACATGCAATTCCATTACAAAGCATACAATCATTTCAATCCCAGAGTAGATTTTATTTTTATAGTGTTTTATAAATATTATTTTTAATTATTAAATTCTTTAAAAATTAATTCTAAATTAAGTTAAACAAAGTATTTTATTATTATAAAATCAGTTATAAATTTAATGTTTTAATTAATGTTTTAAAATTATAATAAATTAAATTCGCAAATATTTGTTTAAAATGATTTTTATTTGTAAAAATAGGAAAATATCTGATATTACCCTCCAATACATGATAATAACCCCATAACAGCTAATATTGCATAAAATGAGAAATTAATNTAGCATCACTTGCGTTATGACAGTCGGCGCTACAAATGGTCGGTAAGGGGGCAGACAATTGCCCGGAGACATCGACTGCAGTTTCACTCGCATTGACTGAAACAATAGATTTTTATTACACAAAAGTAAACACATATTTAATTTCATTGCATTCAATAGTGCCATACCTTAGGAACAGCGGCTAAAAAGTTTATATTAGAGACTGGAAATTGATTGGTATTCGCTATTGTAATCACAACTACTTTGACGTCAATTCGGGGCGAATTTGATGTCAAATGCAAAATGACTTTAACATTGTTTTTGTCGTATAAATGAATGGGTTTCGTATCACTGGGTTCTATGGAATCGAGTGCAACGTTAACATCGGTGAGCGGCAAAGGGATCGAGTCGTTTGTCTCAGTCTTCTCCTTCTCCTTTAAGATTCTGGCGTTTGACTGAATTCTCTGCAATTCATTCAATGAGGTCTTTGGCTGATCGCTATTCAAGAGATTGTATTTCTGTTTGAATTCATCGCTCGAAAGATTGCTTTTCATTAAATGCTCGCTCAGAACGTCGAGCTCTTCTAACGCAGACATTGGACCAGATTTTGACTTTTTCTCACTATCGGTGACTATTGAGTTAGAATTGGATGGTCTGATGGGATCGGGAAGTAGTATATCATTGGGTAACGGGTTTTTATGCGGCGATACCTCTGACTTGTTTTGCAAAAATATTTCTTTCAATTCGTGTAAATCATCAAAAGTACTATTTTTAGCGCCGTTTACACCGGAATGGGTTAAGGAATAGATGTGATCGTCAAGCAGTTCCTCGTCATTCAATACGCTTTCAGAGCCAGCAATCGGTGCCGTTATGTCCAATAGACTCAATTGATTGCTTTCAGGCGCACCGCTATTATTGGAGTTGACTTTCGATACGATTCCAAACCTTTGTTTATAAGCGTTAATAACTTTTGTCAACTCGTCGTTCGCATTGAAAAGAGAGGTCAGATTGGGGTCATCTTCGGTGAAATCATTGGCTAATTTAAATAAACGTATTCTCAATCGTTCGCAACTTTCAAACAACTCTCTCATCAGATCCTTCTCTTCAGCGGAGCTTTCATTTGATGAATAAAATAATAGCATTTCTGACAATACATTCGCGTTGTTATAAACGGTTTCGATTTCGGACTCAAATCTTGTTTTCAGATCCATTCGTTTGTCGGACTCTTTGGCCATTGATTTGATGAGACGATTGGCTGCGTCCAGATCTTCCGGTCGTCCGCTCTTAAGTAACTTTTGCAACAATTGGGCATTTTTTTCGTCATCAAAGATCTCGTCCTTCGGTCGCGGGAGGGGTGGAGTCGGAGGCTTATAGTCCTGCGATTGTCATACAAACGGTTCGTTTAATTAACCTTTTTGTAAGACAATAAGTATATTATAAAAACATACGGGTATGACATGTGTCGGGTCATCGGTAACAATGGACTGTTTCTTCAGCATCTGATAGGCCTCAAAGATTTTGGGCATTTCTTTCAACTCAAGACTCCATAAAAACATTAATTCAATGACTCTTTGTTTCACTTTAGGAGACGATCGATGGGCTAAATACTGAATACATATATCACGGTATAAGACAATTGGCCATCGATTGGTCAGCAATGAGTCATACCTTCGGCGTTTGGTGAAAATAATGAAGTAAGTTTTTCGCTTTGAAAGGCTAAAGTAGCTAGTTAGCCACCGGTGTTTAACCCTAGTTAAAGCTGTTGTGGACGGTAATTTTATGTATGTTTTATGTCTACAATAAAATGAATAAATTAAAAAACAAAAACAAAATACATTTAATGCATGCAAGGCTTCAATCTCTTGAGGCGATTGTATTTTGTGTGCAATAAATCGGAGAGCAATCTGCGGTCCATCGGGTCTATCATTGATGGCATCACACAATCCGTTCAATAGATCGCAATCGATGTCTTCATTCAACGGATTCGTTACCTTCGCTGTCAATACAAATACAAAAATTCAATACAAGACAAAAGTCGAGACAATCAATGAATGCGAACCCAAATAGACGTCGAGACGACTCTCCTCTCCAGACATGGCATCCATTGAACAGATCTTTCATTAATTATATCTTTTATAATGTATTTTAAGCCTTAATTGCAGTCATATTTGGCTCAAAATTAATGTCAAGATTTAAATGTATTTTTATTTACTTTTCATATCAATCACTGTTTACTGTTTACGTCCACAACTCATACATAAAGTCTGTCACATGTAAACCACTTTTATTACTTCATTCAAAAAGCGAAACTTTCCGATTTCATCGATCAATCGGTGGCCACAAATTGGGATCAATTTCGACAACACCTGCCATTAAAATACATACAAAATACAGATGTTATTCAATGAATGAATTAAAAAACAAAAACAAAATACATTCAATGCATGCAAGGCTTCAATCTCTTGAGGCGATTGTATTTTGTGTGCAATAAATCGGAGAGCAATCTGTGGTCCATCGGGTCTATCATTGATGGCATCACACAATCCGTTCAATAGATCGCAATCGATGTCTTCATTCAACGGATTCGTTACCTTCGCTGTCAATACATATACAAAAATTCAATACAAGAGAAAAGTCGAGACAATCAATGAATGCGAACCCAAATAGACGTCGAGACGACTCTCCTCTCCAGACATGGCATCCATTGAACAGATCTTTCATTAATTATATCTTTTATAATGTATTTCAAGCCTTAATTGCAGTCATATTTGGCTCAAAATTAATGTCAAGATTTAAATGTATTTTTATTTACTTTTCATATCAATCACTGTTTACTGTTTACGTCCACAACTCATACATAAAGTCTGTCACATGTAAGCCTTAATTGCAGTCATATTTGGCTCAAAATTAATGTCAAGATTTAAATGTATTTTTATTTACTTTTCATATCAATCACTGTTTACTGTTTACGTCCACAACTCATACATAAAGTCTGTCACATATTGTCCGCAAATACACCCAATTTTTACCACAATTTAATCGCTTTTCAATGAAAACCATAATTAAGTTAATTATGACATCAATTGTATTATTAAATTAAGTCTATTATAACCGATAGTGTAGTGGTTTTGTGGCCAATAGTTGCCATAAACATGTATTTAGTGGTGAATAGTGTATGGATTGAGTGTATTATAGGTTGTAATTGATGTTTGATGTCATGAAAGCCATGATTACAGCCAATGATAACAAAAGAGTGAATAAATGGTCAGAAAAATCGTTAAAAATATTTAAATTTGTGTCAAAAATCTTGTGATCAGTAATGAAGTGAACGAATGGTTCACTCGATTCGTGCATTCATTCTCTGATTGACTATTGAATTGAATCCACAATTGATTCATACATTTAATGTCTATTTATAGCTATTTTGTCGTCTATTAGTGCAACAAATGGTCAAAACCATTGACTGATTCACACTTTACTTAACGACTATTTATTATTGAAACCAATTATTTATATATTAAGAAACGTTTAGTCAAATCGAGAGGACATGTCATCCGTGAGTATCAATTGATGGCAACAATGAATGCAATGAATGGTTGACTAAAACGTGTGTTTAATTGAATTGATAGCAAACGTCATCAAACGTGGAGAATCTGTCGCCACAAGTGATCCGTCAGGTGTCCAAAGAGTTGGCACAACTCGTGTCCAATCCGTTGGAAGGCATTCGCGTTTGTCTTAATGATTGAGTGTATTATAGGTTGTAATTGATGTTTGATGTCATGAAAGCCATGATTACAGCCAATGATAACAAAAGAGTGAATAAATGGTCAGAAAAATCGTTAAAAATATTTAAATTTGTGTCAAAAATCTAGTGATCAGTAATGAAGTGAACGAATGGTTCACTCGATTCGTGCATTCATTCTCTGATTGACTATTGAATTGAATCCACAATTGATTCATACATTTAATGCCTATTTATAGCTATATTTGTCGACTATTAGTGCAACAAATGGTCAAAACCATTGACTGATTCACACTTTACTTAACGACTATTTATTATTGAAACCAATTATTTGTATATTAATTCAACGTTTAGTCAAATCGAGAGGACATGTCATCCGTGAGTATCACATGAATTGATGGCAACAATGAATGCAATGAATGGTTGACTAAAATGTGTGTCCAATTGAATTGATAGCAAACGTCATCAAACGTGGAGAATCTGTCGCCACAAGTGATCCGTCAGGTGTCCAAAGAGTTGGCACAACTCGTGTCCAATCCGTTGGAAGGCATTCGCGTTTGTCTTAATGAAGAGGACGTGTCGGACATTCAGGCGGTGATCGACGGACCCGGTATTGTCTATAGTAATGGCCATTGAATGGCAGTGTGTCTCATGAGTGTTGATCTGATCCCATGTAAAGCCTGTACGCCTTATTTCGGTGGATGTTTTCGCGTGAAACTGATTCTCTCCAAAGACTTCCCTCTCTCGCCTCCGAAGGGATTCTTTATCACCAAAATATTTCATCCAAACGTCTCCAGGAATGGAGAGATTTGTGTCAATACACTCAAAAAGGATTGGAAATCAGATTTAGGAATAAAACACATTCTTCTGGTATGTCTTATAAGAGGCGACTGTTTGTATTGATTTGTATAATTGATTGCCTTTCTCTGCATGTGTTGATTGATTAGACCATTAAGTGTCTGCTAATCGTTCCGAATCCGGAGTCTGCGCTCAACTCAGAGGCCGGCAAAATGCTATTAGGTATGGGTTTGTGGTTTGATTGACTCATTTGTGGCCATTATGTGGTCTATAACTGTATGATTGGATCCGTTTGGCAGAACATTACGACGATTACTGCAAAAGGGCTCAAATGATGACAGAAATTCACGCCTCAAAGCAGATGAAGGACTGTTTCGACGCCGACGTGTCCAACGCGTGGTGCAGTCAGTCATCAGACTCTGTGCGCCGATTGGTTGAGAACGGGACGGACAACGAGACGAGCGGCGGACCGATACTGAAACGGCACGCGAACGACAAGAGTGTCGCCAAACCGATGGCCACTTCATTGACGCAAAAAAAGTCTAATATTAAAGATAAGAAACGAACTCTAAAGCGATTGTAGTTTATGATTACATTTTAAGACAAATGTTTTTTATTTATAAAACAAAAAATTAATAATTTGAAGAAAAGTTCAAATTTTAAATACAATGCAATTTCCGTTTTATAGGCTTTACATTCAATATATTATATGAGTTTTGAAATTAAAAATATTGTATGCATTGAATATTGATTTGGTTTTCAGTGATAACTAATAATACATTTATTTACAGTTTATGTCGAGACGGAGATAGAGTTATAGGCGTTGAAAATGATTTGCATATAATTTTTGACATATATTTATTTGTAAAACATTAGCTCTAAATTTACACAACAAATCAATGGTTGAGATATTGTATTAATTTTTTTGTTTTGTTTGTTGTAAAATGTAATTCAGAGTAACAATTGGTTTTTTATAAGTGTTTTATCAATGCATTAGTTTAAAACTAAACTTATTTGTATATTTTTTATGTCCATTTTTCTCCTACTCTTGTAATTATTATTTCAAATTTTAAAAAACAATAAAATTTCACATTTATATTAAATGCAATTCAATTGATGCACTTTTTTGCTGCAACTATTTCTTTAGTGAATCTACAGTATAGGGCGTATTGTACTGCATACAGTATGTAGTGATACATTTCACTGTCTATTACCGCTTAATTATTTTATATTCACATATTTTTTGAATATAATTATTTCATTTGTTAAATGTCTATATGAGTGAGTCATACAGTGAAGTAAACTATGTATTCAAAGGGGTTATAATGAGGCGGACATCACGTATTAAGTGAGAGGAATGCAATAGAGATGCGTGTAAAATGTGATACTGTCATAAATAAGGTTTACAAGCAATGAAATACATTAACATCATTTCGGGTGAAGCAATATTGAAATTGAAATATTTTATCTTGGCTATTTTAGAGATTCTATAATAACAGTAACACAATTATTCATCAACTTAAAATGGAAGTGGCATATTACTGTTATATGCAGTTTTTAAACTGATATCCCTTTTATTATGCAGGGTGTGGGGGGAGGTGGGAGAGGGCAACGTGTGATGATTATAAACCTCAGTTGATATAGAATTGTGATTTAAAAAGCGTTGGTTTGTGTGTTGAGCGCAAAACCGGTCACATCTCTAACGCATTGTGTGAGCGATTGATTCATTGCTTGCATTGCATTGTTTGGTGAATCACATGATGTCTCACGACTCGGAGGGGCCCTCCAAACAAGACTTGTCCACTGTTTTCGCCAAACTTAAGACCAACGCTTCCAATAAGGTATGTCTTCACCGCACGGCCAACACATGTCTAACCACTCATCCAATTGTGGCCTCAAATAAACGCCAATTGAAGGCCACGTCATATGCATTAGGCTTTCAAATGATTGGTTTGTTTCACAATTGGATCCCCAATAATGGACGACATGTGTTGACCACACGTCACGTGTCCTCATATGTGCCCCAAACTGATTGATCCGTCGATGGGATCCACGAAATGGTGATCTAATTGATTGTATTGTTGTAGACATGCTTTGATTGCGGCGCCCGAAACCCCTCGTGGGTTAGCATCACGTATGGAGTGTTCATTTGCATCGACTGTTCCGCTGTCCACCGCGGACTCGGTGTCCACATATCGTTCGTGCGGTCGTCAGAGTTGGACACGAAGTGGAATTGGACTCAAT